CTCCACCCCTGTGGCAGGCAAAGCTCTGCTTAGGCTCCAAGGCTGTCCGAGACATCTTTTGAAATCTAGATGGAGATAGTCATGCCTCCACAGAGGAGGCAACTTTTGAAATCTAGATGGAGATAGCAATGCCTCTTCTACTCTGTCTACCTGCAGGATTGACACCACATGGATGCTGCCAAGGTAACAGGGGTGTCCATCCTTTTTACTTTTCTGCTACATATTGGAAAAATAAGAGTTGTTTGGGGGCCACATATAAAATATGCAAGCACTAAAGAAAGCTAATAAGCAAAAGAAAAGGTCTTTACATACTTTTTGCAATATCCAACACCACAGATAAGAAAAATAGTCCTCTAATAATGTTTATGTGGCTCACAGGCCACAGGTTGGACACACCTTTTGTCTTCTAGAGTGGTGGCTTAAGCCACACCTTGGCCAACTTGAGCCACATCTGGATGGCTAGGAGTGTTATGCTAGAATGTCCCCACATTCTAGCAGAGACTTGAAGCAGCCCTGGGTGGTGAGCCCCAAGGTCTTATGGATGCTCTGGGCCCCTCTCCTGAAACCGTTCTGCACTGAAGGCCCTGGAACGCTGGAACTGATGGAGGGAGAGCCTCACAGGTCTCTGAAGTGCCTTCTGGGTCGTTCTCCCACCCTCCTGATGAAAAGCACCTGGCTTCCTTCTAGCCATACTCATGTACTGATCAAACAGTCATTTGACCATTCCCTTGGTTTCCTTTTATAAACACACTTAAAAAAAAATCACTACTTGACCAGGCTGAGAATTTTCTAGATCTTCATATATTCTGCTTCTCCTTTAATTACAAACTTCATCTTCTAATCATTTCCCATCTCACATTCTCTCTTACAGTTAACCCCTATAGCACCCAGAAGTTCTGCTGCTTAGAGACTTATTCCAGATATTCTACTTCATTGCTCTTAACTTCTGCCTTCCACAAAGTCCTAGGACAGAACATAATTCAGCCAGCCAGATACTTTGCTACCTCACAACAAAGATGGCCTTTCTTCCCACTTCCAATACTTTGGTCCTCATTTCCATCTGAGACCTCAGTAGAACATAGTCTTCACTATTTATGTTTTTACCAGCATTTTGTTCACAACCACTTAAGTAATCTATAAGAAGGATCAGGATTTCTCTCCAGCTTTCCACCTTCTTTGGGCTCTCACCAGAATTGTGCTTAATGCTCTGTTCATGTGGTACCGACTTTTCCCAACATTCCCTTCAGATCCATTCCATGCTCTACACATTACCCAGCTCCAAATCTACTTCCACATGTTTAGGTATTTGTAACAGCATCACCCCATTCTTCTGGTACCAATTTCTGTCTATGTTTAGTGCTGCTACAACAAAATTCTGTAGATTGGGTAATCTATACATTATTTTCTCCCAGTTCTGGAGGTTAGGGCATAAGTAGTATCAGTTTTCTGGTGGTCTACTCTCTGCTTCCAATATGGCTTTTCTGGAGGGGAGCAATGCTGTGAAGGTAGAAGGCAGAAGGGCCATTTTATAATGGCCTGAATCGCATTTGTGAGGGAGGAGCCACTATGGCATAATCATCTCTTAAAGACTCCACCTTTTAGTACGAGCATATTGGCAACACCTACATTTTAGAGGGGACATGTTCAAACTGTAGACTTTTCCTTAAGCAGACCACTCAGGGCTGGGAGGCAAGAGGGATGTGGGAGAATTCAAGCCACTGTGTCTTTCTAGCTACTCCATGTAATTCAATATCATATGGGTCTGGCAAAGACAAAGTAGCATGGCTCAGTGGGGCTTTGATTTAAAAGGAATTTATTTAGAGGGACTGTACATTAAATCCATAAATGATGGTATTTCTGCCACTTTCTTTTAAGTTAATAAAGTCCAGAATATGGGGGAAATAGGAATGTTCATTAATATGATAAGACAGCATTTCCAAATGAATGATACTAAATCAAACAATGTTTGTTTTCATTGCTTCTAGAGAATCATAGCCACCAAAAAATACAGTACATCTTCCCATTATACGGCCCAGCGTAAAAGGGCATATGGTCAACAATATCCAGGAAAGGTTGCATAGAGATTTGAGTGTTAAGTCCTGCGATTTAGATTTCAGGCTAAGTTTAAAATTGGCCTGTCTAGAACTTGCCAAGTTCCATTAAAAGCCATGGTGTCATTTTGGATTGGAGTTGAACAGAGCAGGACCCTGTGGGATCATGTACTTTTCTTGGTAGCAATACATGAATTTTCTTCTTTGTATCATTTCTTTCTTGGCTCTTGTTATGTTAGGTATCTGCTTTCACACCAAACCCTGGAAAAAATGTCTAATTTTATGGACCTATTATTTCCCAAAGTTCCTCATTTTCTGGCTTTTCAGTTATATCAGAGGATTTCTGTAAAAGTCTAACTAATCACGTGTGTGTGTTTAGTTATACACATAGTTGAACTTAAATGCTGCCTTCCTCACTAAAGTCTTTTTGATGCCCTTTATCCTTAAGAGAGTGGACATCTAACTCCTCTGAAGCTTCTGAGCACTTTTCCCCTCACTGACAATACCCATGGTGTTATACAAAGATAGTGTGTTTCCTGACATTCTTGCCATTTAATGCATGACATACTTTATATGGGTTGTCTTAATCTTCAGAACAAGCCTTGAGGGAAATACTTTGTGCAGATGAGGAAGCTGTTGTTATAGAGTACCTTGCTCAAAGCCATACAGCCGCTAAGTAATGAAGCAGGGACACCCCCAGACAGTCTGGTTCTAAAGCTGATTCCTGAAAACACTTCCTGGGATCACCTTACAGTTTTTGACATCCCAGTTCTATTCCAGTACAGGACAGTAAGATGCTTGACTATAAAACACTATCATGCTTATTTCAGTGTTACTGGAATTTTCCAACTTATTGATTAACTCATAAGTATCCAATAAATAGTGGCTGAGTGAATGCTTAACAGTTGTCATTGGAGTTTGATGACGAAATGGCCTGCTAGCTTAGGCATTTAACCTGAAAATTTATTTTTGAGTGAATATGAAGAAAACAGAATGCTAGCACATGAGGATTTAAGAAGAGTTTCTATTTATTTTCCATACCTGTCACTTAGGTTTGATTCTGTGGTCCAAATATCCTTCTTCATTTTTTGTCAAACCCTCCTTTTTTATGAAGATAAACTGTCTCTGTTTTTCTCCATGTAATAATCCTGTGTATTTGGTTCTATAGAACTGGAATATACCATTAATCATTTTCCTTTTTATTTATTCATGACTTAAGCTTCTATTGCCAAAAATAAAATTAAAAAAAGTATTTTAAGTTAAAAATGTAATAAAAATTTTAAAAGTTATGCCTGACCTTCCTGGCTCCATCATTTTCTAGCCTTTCAGAGGCACTTCCCATGTATAGTGTAGCCATGAGCTAAAAGTTCCATGACTCAGATGAAAGCCTACAGTGTTAAAAGGTGGCATTTTGAGGGGAATGTTGATGTGCTTAGTTAGTGGACAGTGACCTAGAAACACAACATAAGTGCTGAGGAGTTCTCTGTGTTGGTACCTGGACCATCAGGATCACATAGAAAATTGACTAAAAATGAGAGAACTCTGAGCCTTGCTCAGTCACCCTCCGCCATTAAGATGGATGTACCTGCAAAGAGATACAGTATCATTACCCAGAGCCATAGAGGCTGTGGGCTTGGTTCCTAATTGTCTCAGGAAAACTAAATTTGGATCAGGACACCAGAGGAACTCTAGGTCATATGAGGGGCCAGAGGAAGATGAGAAGATTGCATCTCCAGCCTGCAGTAGCATTGCACACAAAAGTGACCATGACACAGGGGAGCTTCATGGTTTCCAACAAGTTCTCCCTCTTTGCAAAAGGAAGATGGGAGAAAAATGCACTGCTTACAGCTTCATTTTTGTGGGCCTAAGTGAGGCAATTTAATATAAAGCTAAAGCAAATTAGGAAAGACAGTTTCTTAATTTAGTAATATTTGAATTAATTTGGTGTATTTCAGTGTTATCAGTTCTCTTGTTTGTGAGATGTTTTTCTGTTACTTCAAGTGAAACCAGGGAAAGTACCTGCCTGGAGGCCTTTAGGCTTTAATAGATGCAGGTTCTAAGTCTGAGATTGGTGATCTGTGCATGTGCTTTCCCATCTGTAGAATGGAGTTAGTACTTTCCAATTACAGGGCTGTTCAGATTAAATATCCCATGTTTTCAAAGTCCCTTGCTCCTTGTAGGCACTCAGTAAGGAGTCTTGCTGCCTTTTGTGTTCATATCCTGCCCACAGTTCAATTCTCACCTGGTCAGAAAAGAAGAAAAGCAGAAGTTCACTAAGTTATAAAATATTCCTGACCTTAAGCATTTCTTAATACAGTGCTGAAATGTTACTGTCCCCCCCCCCGACATTTATGAATAAGAAGATTTAGATCATAAAATTAATAGCATCCTGCTAATAATAGTGGCAAATGCTAATACTAAGGTGACCAGATTTTAACATTGGTAAAGCAGGACACTATTGATGGGGGGTGGTGGTGGTGGTGGTTTCTTAATTAAAAATTTGGTCTATGTGGAGCAACAAAAATTTTCATAGAATGCAAAAATAGTGTTGTAATCTATATATTTTTAATTTAAACATAAGTACAATTTATAAATATAATACATTAAAAAAAATTATATATAAGGCAGTGCCTGTGGCTCAAAGGAGTGCAGGTCCACCTAGGCCACCTTGCCTAGGAGGGGAGTAGGGAGTTTATGTTAGCCTTTTCATTTCCAAATGAAGTTACATTAACCTCTTCATTCCCAAATGGAGTTATATTGTCATGCATTCTTTCCAAAAATGGGGACTTTTAAAAAATGCTGCGGGATGTGGGACAAATTGTTAAAAATTGGGACTGTCCCGCTTTGTCTGGTCACCTTAGCTAATACAGCACTTTCTGACCACAATGGCTGGGCCAGGCAGTAATGGTGCTGGATATTTCCTGATGGTGTGCTTTTCTTTTTTTCCAGAAGCCTCTGGTATGTCAGAACCACACTGTGTTTTTTGGGATTTCATTTGTGAACCGATTCTGTTTAAAAGACTTTTATGAAAACATTATTCCCATCAAGTACCTGAAGAACACATTTATCTTCTGAGCTGCCGGCAGTTTCAAGGTTTGTGTTAATTTTTCCTTTTTGTTTACTGAAGATATTAATTTTGAGGGATATTTTTAAATGGTTAATAGTCACACTCTTTTTCAGTTAGAACTCTGGAAGTAGATTTTGCACATATTACAAACTTCTAATTTCATTGAATGATAGTGTTAGGATGGAAACTCACAGTGGGCTGATAAGGAATTTTCAACACAAATATTAAGATGGAAAGAAATGAAAAGTTTATTTTACCTTCCCTGAGAGAGAGAGTTGGAAAAGGGCGTGACACCTGAGAAAAAGAAATGTGCCAGCCCAAAGGACAAGTGACTTGGGCTTTTTGGGTTTTATAAAGAGTAAAAAAGTTCCTTGTTTCAGACTGATAGCTGGAACAGCTGTGAAGCTGCTACACTTGTTTTTCCTTTTTATTTCTTCTCCTTGAGGCCAGCTTATCATTTTCTCTGGAATGTGGTTCTGACAGATGTGTTTTGGGGAAGGGTCATACTCTTTCTGTCTGCTCAGTTCCTTTTAAATGCTGTAAAAACATAAATCTGAGGCTGTTGCATTGTAATCTTGTCCTTCTAAGGGGCAATTATGTGCTGTTAGTTTTCTCCCCTTTTCTTTCTGTTAGTTTATTTTTCTCTGATAGTTTATTAGCAATGCTGTCCTTTCAGATAGACAGACAGACATAAATGAAAATAAATTTCTTTTTCTTTTCATACTTACTGGTAGATACTCTGTGGGATGTAACAAGGACATTAGAAATAAAATATATACCGCATTGGCTTAAAACAAATTTTATGTCTGTGTTGATATATTCTAACTGAAGAGATTCAGTAAATTTATCAAGTCTCTCTCTGTCTATATATATAAGTATATCATATTTCATTAACACATTCAGTTATTTAAGAATTGACAAATAAATTTATTATAAAACATTGAAAATCAAAACTGCATTTGTCAATATTGACTAGTATTATCATTAAGACAGTTTTCAAATTGTAAAACTGAGTGGCCAGCATGTTTTTATTTAGTTCTACCAGGAGGCACTCACCTTATGATTTGTAAATGATAGGATAGGGTTTATTTGGGATCGTGTTGTATGTTAAAAGTTTAAAAAATTACTAACAGTCTTGTTGCTTACTTAAGGAGAAAGCTCACTAGCAGAGCAAGCATTTTGTTTTGGAAATACATGTTTGTTGTTGAGATAGTACCAAGTAAAACACTTTCATTCTGAAGGTACTTTCTCACAAAGACCTCCAAGGCTAAATTCCGTCCACACATCTTTCATAGCTGGGAGAAGAAACAGGGTGCAGGGTAAGGCTTGGTGCTCTAAGTGGATGAAAACTAAATGAAGAAGAGCACAGGAGAAGGAACACAGCACTTTCTAGCATGACACATCTTTTCCTACAGGCATTTGTTTCATTTGGTGGTACTTTTATTCTGTCCACGGTGACAAATGTTTTCTCCCTTAATAGCCCTTTACCGCAGTTTTACTTTTTTTTTATATCTCCTGAGAAAGTAGATGTTACTGTAGTGCTGGGCTGGAATCCAGTTTCCCCAGCATACCCTTTGTTGTTAGGCCTCACGATTAGCCCACACTAAAGCGTGAGGCAGGGGCACAGGCTGGGGGCAGGGCAGATGGAATTTGTGTTTCCACCCTCAACTTTCCACTCTGTCAGTTTGGTGGGATGTCACAGTGTGTTGGAACCTAATAACTGTATCCATAGAAACAGAAGTGCTGAAAAGGACTTGAGAAGTTACTCATATGCTCTTCCTTAATCTCTAAGCAAGATTCCATGTAAATTGTCTGAAATCAGTAACAATCTGTTTATATCCTGGGATCCAATTTCCTTTTTTTCCCCTTTGCTTTATTTAAAATGGTGATTTAAAAAAGTCCAAAACAAAATCTACCCTTTCACCATGTGCACATTGTTGTACAGCAAATAGTTACTTTTTCATCTTTCAAGACTTAAATTTTGTACCTCTTGAAAAGCAGCTCCCCATTTCTCTTCCCTTCAGCTTGCAGAAACTATCATTCTACCTTCTCCCTTTTGCCAAATGCTTTTTCTGCATTGATGGCTGTGTGCTGACCATTGCAGGAAGGCTTCCGGGGACTGCTGCCTCCTTTCTACACGTTGCCCCGGTTCTTGAAATTCTCTAGTTTGCTTTTTCCCCTGATGGAAATCAGACTGTGTGTTATTTGCCCACCTCACCACATATGCATCTCTCTCTCTCTCTTACTCTAACTGCAAGCCTATTGCAAATTCTTGCCCCTCCTTTGCTGCCTTGTCTTCTTTTTATGAAAAGAGAAAATTTATTGGTTAGAGTCCACCTATATCATCATATTCTCAGTTCTGACATCATCCCTTTCCTGTGGGGAAGATTAAGCCCATTTTAAAATTTTTTCCTATAAAATTGTATAATCAAAAATGTTACTTAGACTTGCAATTTTTTTCTGAGTCTCTTAAGTTCCCTACATCTCACTTAGGAGTCCAGACAGGTTCAAGAAGCTTTAAAAATAATCTATTGCTATTTCTCAATTGGGGGTCATTGACATTTTAAGTAGGATAGTTCTTCCTGGTGCAAGATTATCCCATGTACATTAAAATATATAGTAATCTGAGTTCTGAGGGGAACCAGAGGCCAACAGCACCACCAGTCTCTAGCCATTATGGCAACGGATTCAAACCTTCCTTCCCATGTCCCTACAGGGAAAGTCTGTGGCTGCGTAGACCTCAGACTCCTTACTTAACAGTTGACCATGCCAAACTGGCAGAGTCAAGTACGGGGTGCATCCAGCCCAGCCTCCTGTCCATAACCTGGGTACCATTCTCCTTCCACTCTATCATACTTCACTGTGCTACATTTATTTGTAAGCTGTCTAGAAATATACTAACATGCGTTTATGGACAGATATACTTTTTGGAAGAACTAGAAATTCTGGTCTGGTGTTTAAAGGACATCATTTTCACTTGATACAGGAACTTGGATAAGGGAAAGTTGCTATTATAACAGCAAACAGGAGTAAGAAAATGGCAGGGTAAGAACAGTTCTGGCGATAGAAGGAAGCAACAGGGCCTCCGGAGAGGTGACAGGGCCGAGGTTATAATCGTGGCAGGTCAGGTACTAAGTGAAAGGGGTAGAAAATGTGAACTCCGGAGGAAAACTGAGATAAAGGTAAGTAATGAAGCATTATTTTTTTTAACTTGCTTTGCATTGAGCACCCTAGTTTTACTCTTTGCTCTAGGCCACTGTCACCTTTAGAAATTTAAAGATCAGTTTATTGGTAGCCCAGGGAGCCCTTGCTCCCGGCTTCACCTTTCTCTCCCTTGGGTCTGATATCCTCCATCTCATGCCACTGGTACCCTCCACCTGCATTTGTGCCTTCTCCCTCACTTGTCTATTGCAGGCCCCCAGTTCATTCTTCATGCATGTAGGATGTGAGGAAATGACAACTTATCTCTAGCTGATTCTTCCAAGGGCTCAAGTAAAGTTACAAATTAATAGGAGAAGACATAGAAACAACTGACCTTTGAGAAGTTTCTCCCCACAAAGCTTTGTTAAGTAAGGCTCCAAAAGTCTGGAGACTAACCATAATATGGGTACAACATCCCATGGAAAACCAAGTTTTCAGGCACTACTATTTTCTTTGGTTGTAAAGTAAGAAATCTTTGAATTCCTGACTGTATGGGTTACTTAATAGCAAAATGCTATGAATTCAGGAATTAAAGACACATTTCTGTGTATGGTTCTTTTCAGTTTTTTATAGTGGGATTATACTTAACACCCGCCTTAGCTTCCACAAGATACACAAAGTAAGTAGAGAGTAGAAAATGAGAACTGGACTAAAAGAAACTTTCTTTGCTTTCTAGCAAAATGGGAAATCCTAGACGATGTGATGTATCATCCATAAAAAGGCTACATTTATGGGGATAGAAAATATAATATCAAAAGACTTCTGGTATCTTGTGTTATTTAATTATTTAAAGCTTTATGACTAAGTTCCTGAGTCAGGTTTTTAAAACATGGGGATTTTCCTGTCTTGTCTTTTTTTGTGCATAGGACATCAAGTTATATTTGGCTTCTCAGAATTTCTCATTTCCTGAAATGCACCACTAGCTCTATAAACATGGAAGAATAAATATTAGCTTTATGAGAACACGTTCCTCTACTAGTTGAAAAATAGTGTATAATAAAAAACACAAGGATGTAATATTGAAAATTATAGATCAATATGCCCTCTTATTGTTGGATATATATCTAATCTTCATGCATAGAGTCTATTTTTTTGTGAAAAACACATGCTGTGTAATAGCACTTGTGTCTGTGATTTATTTCTGCCCCTCATATTTAATCTCAAGTGACTCTTGCCTCACTAGTGAAATGTTTCAGGCTTATTTTCCACTATGATTTTTTTTTAAGAAAAACCTCACTGGCTTCTTGCCATTAATTCTGAGAATTACTCATGATCCAAAATTAATAAAATGTTCGTAGGTTTCCTTCCTACTGGCATCTCCCAGTACCCAACGAATGAGCTTTTTGGGAATTATGTTAGAAAATGTTTATTGGCAAATTTGAAAGAAGAGGAAGTGTTTGTGAGGAGCTAAAAAATAAAACATTAATTGTGGTCTTGCACAGCTAATCAACACTTATAAGTGTGCAAATTATTATTCCAAAATTCAGACTCTAATTATACATTTGTAGAAGCAATGAAATGTGTCATCCATTAACTGTGTGACTTAAAAATTACACAGATGTCTCATAAGGAAGAGAAAGTATAACTCACAAGTAGTGTATTTAAGTTTGTCTAAATAGAATTGTACTGAATATAAATATATGTCTTTAATATTGTTTTTCTTTTCTCAACACTAATTTTTTTTTTTTTTTTGAGACGGAGCCTCAAGCTATCCCCCTGGGTAGAGTGCTGTGGCTTCACAGCTCACAGCAACCTCCAACTCCTGGGCTCAAGCAAGTCTCCTGCCTCAGCCTCCCAAGTAGCTGGGACCACAGATGCCCGCCAC